GGCTTCTCTCACACCCTCTGCTTCTTCCCAGCATCCTGAGATAAACATGTATGTGGGCTGAGCTGCCTTACATTTACTGAAGGGTAAAAGTAGGTACACAACAGTATACCTTCTGCTCTTTATTTTCACACTTTAAGTTACCTCTTCTTAAGACAATGTTGTAGACCTTTGCCTACACACCAATCATGTCCCAGTTAACCATACAGATGGTGTATTTAGCGTACTGTGTTCTCCCAGGATGTGGACATAGTTCTACTAAGAGAAATGTCTTAAACAGTACAGCTCATTTTCATAGCTAGAAAGGGTATAAATGACTGTCTTTTCTTACATAATTTGCTGTTTTCTCCCACTCTTTACCTCCATTAGATCTTGCCTCCAGGAACTAGGAGGCATCTATTTCTGACTGCTAGCAATCTACTAGTTGGTAGGAAATTACTAAGGAAAACACAGACCCTGGTGTAGCCCTTGTCCTTGTGGAGAACAGGATGACTGGTTGAATAGCTGAGGCTTCTCAAGCCTCATAACGAAAGATGGATTTATCTTATCAGACCTTAGAAGCTCCACTCTGTGAGTGTTGGCAAGCTGGACTAGTGTTCACAGAATCACAGAATCACAGGGGTTGGAAGGCATCTCAAGAGATCATCAAGTGTAACCCCTTGCTACAGCAGGTACACTACAGCAGGTTGCACAGGTAGGCATCCAGATGGGTCTTGAAGATCTCCATAGAAGGAAACTCCATCACCTTTCTGGGCAACCTATGTGAGTGCTTTGTCACCCTTATCATAAAGAAGTTCTTCCACACATTTGTGTGGAATTTCCTGTGTTCCAGTTGTTGGCCATTGCTCCTTCTCCTACCACTACAGACCACTGAAAAGAGTCTAGCCTCATCCAATTTCCTCCTGCACTCTAGATACTTATAAACATTGATCAGATCTGCATTGGAGAGACATGGGTACACTTAGGACACAGTTCCCTTGAGCTATATTCAGTATTTCTTTGGGCTGAGAAGGATCAAGCTTTGCATTTCAGTGACTGCATTGATGAGACCTGACTCTAGTATGAAGGGGTAGATGGTTAACCAGCTGAGAACTAGCTGTTAGGTCAACTAAATCACACCTGAGATATCAAAATAAAAGGACAAGGACCTTCCAATGTTACCTTTACCCTAGTCCCAGAAAATACTCTTGGAGCCAGCTTGTCAGTGTCCTGATCCTCTGTAGGGTGACAGATGGATGGCTGTCTAAGTCATTTAGCAGAAAACCATGCTTTCTCCCAGGAAGCCTTCTTCTGTACCCACCAGTCCCTCATGCTGGCCAAAATAATTGCTATCATGCTTCACACACACTTAAATAATGAAGAGCTATTTAATGGACTGCTCATAAGGATAACAAAAAAACACCGCTTGCCTGAAAATGGCTTAATTGTTTTCTCCCAAAGAAAAATTCTCTTTTTCGGAGAGCAAAATTATTCCACAGACTCTCCTACTACTTCAGTAGGAAACCTGAAACAGATAGCAGCCGAAATCATCTAAGGCAGTCCAAGTGTAGTTGGATGTGGGCCACCAGATGATTCTTCTGGCCTGCTGCCCTTCTCCTGGGAAAGGCAGGGAGCAGATGTTGTAGCAGCACATAATAACCAAACAGCTGGGAAACTTCTTCCATACTTAGCATTCCAAAGGGACATTCCATAGTGGGACTTCTGTTTTTTTTTCAGGTACGATTGTCGTAAATTCTGAGAGTTCTTGAAGGGATCTGGTAAATGCTTTTTGGTTGTTTTGTTTTCTTTGGAAGGGTTATTTATTTCTGCAGGATTGTTTTTCTTGGGATGAACAAATATTTTTTCTGTGCAGGTTTGGGATACAGAAAAAATGGGTTCTGATGAGATCCTTCTGAGTAGTATTTAGCATCTATGTCTGATTTATTTACTCTTGAAATTATTTATACAGCATGGAAATCTAGCTTGGGGACTTATCCTTCGTAAACATCCAAAGTAGGTGCAACGGATGACATAATGAAAGCACTTCTCTGTCTTTAATTTAAAGAATGCACGAGGTGATTAGATTTTTAATTCATACTCTTTTTTCCAATTATATTTAGCAAAGTTACTAGAAGTTGGGAGATGTGGCTATGGAAGTTGGTATAAAAGGAGAAAGAGAAAATGCAAAGTAGAGCTTTTGAAAAGTCTAGATGATTATTTGGACTGTTCCACGATGCTTCCACAGAGCTGGATGCATTCATAATGTGCCTATGCATTCTTAGCATTCTTTTCTCAGGAGAAGGCACCTATGCAGCCATGGGGCTGTTATGATCCCAAGGGACAAGAGCAGGGCTGCCTCATGCAGTGCTTCTGCCTCTGGACTTACATCCCCTCAGTCTGCTCCACACAGGCTGAGAGCCATAGGGACTGTAACATACAAGTATGTAACTGAGTCACGGATATTCACATTGGATAGGTAATGGATTTAGTTGCTCCTCTGCATAAATTGCTTGGTTTTTATTTTGCTCAATCTGAGAAAAGGGTAAAGGCGAGGCAGATTTGAAATGAATTTGTATTCTAAGAAAGATGGAAGACAGAAAATGAAGGTGAAGGGTTCCCACTTTGGGAAGAACAACAGTATTGATATCCTAGCACTGGGAAATACTGAGGTGATTGGAAGAATCTTATCTGTGGGCAGTTGCTCCTACAACACTGGAAATATGTGTTGGGATGCAAGTTCCATACCAAGTTCCTGACCTGGGTCTGTGGGTCCTGAGAGAAGTATGGTTGACAGCTGCAAAAGCAGTGTGAGACAAAGTGTTTTCATGGGATATCCTGCCAAAGGGATCCTCTACACCTGCTACAGCTGTTCAGATTCTGTTATTGATCATTTCCCAGATCTGGAGAGGTTTTATCCTTGAATGCTGCTCTCTGTAGAAGGGAACAGGGACAGCACACCCTAGATGGACCCCTAGGGGACACCACTTATCACTGGCCTCCACCTGGATACAGAGTAGTTGACAACAACCCTCTGGCTGTGACTATCCAACCAATTCTCTATCCACTGAACAGTCTATCCTTCAAACCCTTATCTTTCCCATTTAGAAAGGAGAGGAGGACATCCTTTCCATCAGCTCTGGGTGGATGTGGGCCAAACGTCCATCTGCAAATGCCATTTAGAAAACACTGCTTAGAATGAGCTGCAGTGAGCTGCAGGGCTATGAGGGGCTGCAGGGCTGCCATGAGCTGCAGGGCTGTGAGGGGCTGCAGGACCACGAGAGGCTGTAGGGCCATAAGGGGCTGCAGGACTGCATTGAGCTGCAGGGCTGTGAGGGAATGTAGGGCTGCCATGAGGGGCTGCAGGGCTGCCATTAAGGGATGTTGGAATGCAGTGAGCTGCAGGGCCATGAGGAGCTGTAGGGCAATGAGGGACTGAAGGGCTGCCATGAGGGGCTGTAGGGCTGCCATAAGCTGCAGAGCTGTGAGGGGCTGTAGGGCTGCCATGAGAGGCTGTAGGTCTGCAGTGAGCTGTAGGGCTGCCATGAGAGGCTGTAGGGCCACAAGGGAGCTGCACCCCAGAGGCCCTTTTGTTGTCTCCAGAGCACACGGTGGACTCACATCCACCATGCAGCCCCAGTGCCCCTTCTGTGGGGCTGCCATTCCTCATTCTGTGCATACATCCAGCACTCGTTCCCATTAAATGTCCTGCTTCGCTTCCCCTCAGGTCCCTTTTGTCACTTTGCTATCGACTCTGCAGTTTGGGGAGAAGCTGCCTCACCTCACCTTGCACTTGCACCTCTTCCCATCCAGGGGCAATGCCTGCCTCCATCCACCCCATCACCCCGTTCTGCCGAGCCTGCCCAGCTAATTAAAACGAAATCAAGCGGCGAGGCAGCACAGATGGTGCTGAGGGGACAGAGAGAAGGAGAAACCGGGAGAGGTAGAAGGGGGAAAAAAAAACCAAATCAACAACTAAAAAAATACAAAACAAACGGGGGTGGTGGTGAAGTGCTTGATTTAAGAAACTCGATTTAATAAGCACCCCGCCTCCCTCTGCTCCTCATTGGTGCCTTCGTTCTCCTCCATATTAATGAAGAAGCCGAGGAGAGGCGATTGGCTCCGCTTCCCTTTTGCTTTCTTCAGGCACTCGGGGGAGGAGGTGTTTGCATTTCTCTGCAGGAGCAGCTCGTTTTGCAGAGCATTGTCTGGGTACGAGAACCGCACGCACAGACAGACAGATAGATAGACAGACACACAGCGGTACGGGGGGAGCACAGCACAGCCCCGACCCGCAGGCACACAGCATCCGAGCCGGCCAGAATCCCCTTCTCCTCCCCCCCGCTTCCCGAGCGAGAATAACACTCCCTTAAAAAAAAAAAGAAAAAAAAAGAAAAAAAAAAAAGAAAAAAAAGATTCTTCGACCCTCCCTCTCCTCCCCCCCCCAGGGGGAGGAAGCCAGCGGGCCAGCGGCACAAACAAAAAAAAAAAAAAAAAAAACAAGGCAAACAGACGGCAGAC